CATTGTTGAGACTTCTGAGGAAAAGTCTTTGTGAACTGAAGAGGGTAAGAAATTTTCATTAAAAAAATTTTTTTAAATGACTTCTGCTACGCTTGGAGAAAATTAAACATGTACACATGTTGAGAGGTATTATGCCATGCAGAGAAAGATGGAGAGAACTAAACCTTGTGTTAAAATGATTCCCATTTTTGTGCCTGTTGTTTATGCTACAGCAAATAATGACATTGAAATGACATGTTAAGTCAATAGAGCCAGATGTTTTTCTCAGCACTACTTTAATTAGATCTCTGCATAGTACTCCTGAAAGGGAAAGTTTACTGAACAGGAGGCAGATGGAAAGTCATTTTGAAGGTTAGCTTTAATTAGCAAAACAAATAAAACTTTTAGGTTTAGATTTCACAGATATGGTGATGTTCATAGCCTACAAAACATTATGAAAGAATCTAAACTAGACTGGCAGGACTTCCAAAATATGGTCTTTTAAATTAAAAACCATTTAATGCTATTCATCTAGATAGTATCCTAATATTCATTATGAACTGAATAACTGAAAGAAGATGCTAAGACCATTGAAAGAAACCAAAGATGTGATAATTACAGTGCTTTTCTATCATTTATTCATGCTAGTTTGATGCCTCACAAACAGAATTCAATAAAATGTTGAACATAACTGTCTTTTAAGTATCGAAGACTAAACAATATATATACTCCAATCTGTATGTATTTCTATTTGATGCATTAATTCCACTTCATCTGTATCAGAAGTGTCTGTCTTCCATAACATAAAATGGAAATTGTGGTCAGGTAATGCATTCTCTATGACATCTAGAAAATCCCATGTGTAATAGTAATACTTCAATCTGTCTTCTTTAGGAGTACTAACTCCTAGTGAACCATAACTTTCTGTGTACCTGGGGGTCAAACAGACTATCCTACTTTGATGTGGTTGGTTAAAATGTATGAACAATTTTCTGAAGGCATTAGTCACTTACCTACCCCAAAATGGTAATGTGGATCAATGTGCCTCAGATGCTTAGAGGCCTTCCAAATCTATGTTGAATTTTAGGGCACCTTGGAGTTATTTTACTGTGGTTGAAGGCATAAGATGTGGGATTGATTATAACTGACATAAGATAAGTATAATAGGAATGATTGGATACTTCTATTGCCTTATTTGTTTGGTGTTCTGAATTCCTCATAGAATTCATATCCTGGCCAAGTTCCATTTTATTTTCAAAGACTAATAATGAAATAAGTCCTAGTTAATGGAAGTTCTCGTTGGTTGGGTTTGGATAATTTTACTTTTGTAAGACTAGCTAATTATCATTATTACACACTATTGTATACTCAGCACCTAGAGCAGTGCCTGGCTCACAGGATATTATCAATAGTATTTCTTGATTGCTAATGGATGGGTATATTGTTTATTGTATTATTGAAGCTAACAATACTAAGTCAAAAATAAGCAAATTCAACATAATAAATTGAGCCTATGATTTTCAATTTTTTATTTCCTTCATTTGATGTGCCTTTTTTTTATCTCGGTTTACATAAAAGAAACTATATACTTTATAAGTGAATCTTAACTTGGAGGAAATTTCAGAACAAGTTTCCTTTCTTGAAAGGACAAAGAATTTCTGGCTATACTTGAGAGTAGCCAGAGAGGGACTGTAGTTCCCTACTCCAGATCTCAAACATTATGAGTCTTTTCAACTCTGGGGAAAAAAATGAAAAAGGTTGAAAATCTCTTAGATACATTGCCCTTCAAGCAGATGGAACACAAGTAGAGGTTATTGATTTCCTTTTGTCACCTGCTTTCATTGTAGGATGACAGCATGTACAATGTAGAAATGACATTTACTAAGCACCAAAAAAGAACCTGAGGTTCTGGACTTGTCTCTTTCAGGCTTGTAGCTATTTTGCTAATTAATTACTCAGAATAGGGTTACTGCATAACTGCTTCTACCCTTTTCAGGATGGTAGCTAAAAAGTTTATGAAAGTTTGCAGCTCTCATTTGGAATACACTTCACAAAAGCTTTCTGCTCTGGTCACTCCTTCAGGTCTTCATTCTCTTATGAAGGCTAACAAGGCTATGTCAGTTTAATTCTAATACATGTATACATATTTTATATTCTATAAAAATACTAATTGAGAGCCTAATATAGGGTTTAAGATCTGACTTCCTTTAATGCTTGATGGCAGACTATATTCTATGAGAGGCAACTTTAGCTCTTTCAGGACCCCAAGGTGTCTTTTATTTTTGTTTGGGAAATTACTGCTGTAGGTTAGGGTGCTAAATGGTATTTCTAGAAGCACAAGTAAGTTACTGCATCTCTCTTATGTTTCATAATATTTCATTCACATCCCTAAGAAACTTGGAAGCACACATTTCCTTTGTAAAAAGTCCAACATTCATTAGTGTAGAGCATCATTTAATTTTTTTTGTTATTTAGATAAAAGAGAAGCAAAAAACTAAAACAAGACAAAAAAACAAGAGGAGAACTCAGTATTTACTGGCCTTGTATTGAGTTCGGGATACTGCTAGCTTTCAGAACATCATGAGATTATCACCCTATTCAAATTTCACTTTGAAAATTAAAAACAGCCTAATTTTCCTTTGACCCATGACACCAAAACCATAGGCATGTAATTATTTTGAGAGTATCATATTTAGGGGAAACTTTCCTTTCCTTAAGAAATGAACTTAAGAACTTAAAGCAAAAAGTTTTGATTATGGGAACTAAGGGAAATAGAGGGGAGGAAAATTTTTCTTCTGCTCTTGTAGCATCCCCATTTGGCCTAAGAATTAAACTGACATAGTCATGTTAACAGGAGAAGAGCATGAAAGTTTTATTAAAATTTTTACATGTACATGTTAGCCTTCATAAGAGAATGAAGACCTGAAGGAGTGACCAGAGCAGAAAGCTTTTCTACCTTTTAGATAAAGAAACAATACTTCTGTGAAGAACTGACAAGGCAAAGGGGCTTAGGTTGGGGCAGTAAATTGTAGGGAAGTGATTGGGAAGATAGAATTAGTTTAACAAGGTTTGTTTGTACAGATTTCTCTCAGTCTTGACCCTTCATCTTTGAGGATGAGATGTCTTCCCTCCTCTGAGTACACCTTTCATATGAGAGTTTCCTGTTTTTAGAAAGAAAAAGGAGGATCATAGATCTTTCTTGCATCTGCTGTTTCTCAAGGGCCTTTAGCTCAAAATAATTTTATTTGAAAGAGGCATATTTTGGGATGTAAGATATTCTGGTTTCTTTCAGAAGTAATATCTTTTTGAATTAGGCTTGTTTTAGATGTAGTTGAGAATTTTTATGTTTTCTCTGTTAATATAGGCAGATTTGAAAAAGAAAATATCAAAATATAAAGACTAATATGAACTATGCTGAATTAGAATAAAGAAAATACAAATGAAGAATAAACTGTTGAAGTGGGTTAATGTCGATGATATAAAATGAGTAGATCTATGGACTATTTGAGCTGTATCAACATAGAAATGAGGAACATTCTTAGTCTTCTTAGGAATTCTACTGTTTTCTTGAATAAATTAAAAAATAAGATTAAATGACTTTTGATGCCATGTTGCAGGCACTATTCAGCATATTCAGACATTAGTGAGCTATGTATTCTTATTTTCTAGATCAGCGGTTAAAATCATTTGGAGCACCTTAAAAACCAAAGTGAAGTCTGAAATAAACTTGCAGGATTTTCCACAAAATGTATGGAAGTCCATCTGACAAATTGGTTAGGGCAGCCACAGGGCTTACAAGTGCAGGGCAAGTAATTTTCTGTTTAAATCATTTCAACAACTTTTTATATTAGCATGTAGTACATCTATTTTTAGATATAGAACAAGTTGTTTTTCAAATCACCAGTTCTTGAAGTGTGAAATGAAACCACCATCCAGGAAAATACAGTTTGATTTGGCATGTTTCACTCAGTGTGATTCACAAGTATATCCCAAACCTCTAATCTTCCTGAGATCCTTCAGTAACACAAATGACATTTAAAAGGATTTAGCATAATCTATCTATAATGCATGACCAATTGTAGCACAGTAGACATTAAGAGTTTTCTGGAATTGTAATACGAACCCTGCCATAGTACACTTCTTCAGATTAAGAAACATTTTTTAAAATCAGTCTATTTTATCTAAATGTTATTATGAAGTTATAAATGTGACTGAGAAGCAATTTGTGTGTGTGTGTGTGTGTGTGTAGACAAATGTTGATGCCCATCAATGGTATCATTAAATTTTGTTTTATGTGTATATCTGCCAGGTTGCTATGCCATACTAAGGTGCATAATTATCATAGAAGTGAATGGTCAGAAATTTCTCTATTCTTCTTTCTTTAGTTTTTCCTCTATTTAACATATTTTATGTTTAGGGAAGATGTGCTTATAGGCATTCTCATTGAAATGTTTCCAATTTATCTCTTAATCTCTTAGAAGTAAGATTTCTTTTTAACTTGTTTATTGAGATATAATTCAATACATACTTTACACACTCGAAGTGTACAGTTAAATAATTTTTAGCCACTGCACAAAGTTGTGCAATCTTCACCTAAATCACTTTTAGAACATTTTCATCACCTCCAAAATTCACCCCTTAACTGGCACTCCCAAACTCTCATCTCTTCCAGCCCTGGGCACTTACCTACTTTCTCTCTAGATTTGCCTGTTTTGGACAATTCATATAAGTGGAATCATACAATATGTGGTCTTTGTGCCTGGCTTCTTTCCCTCAGTATAATGTTTTCAAGGTTTCTCTACTTTGTAGCTATGTATCAGTATTTCATTCCTTTTTATGACTGAATGATATTCCATTGTATGGCTACAGTACCTTTTATTTATTCATTAGTTGATGGACATTTGGATGAGTTGTGCTTTTTAATAGAAGAAACTGTTAAAAAGTTAAAGCTCCTATATTTCTTTAGCACAGAGGAAAACATCTTCTGTTCTTCATCACAGGTAAAGGTGTCAGACCCGGCTATGAAGACCAGCATCCTGCTTATGTTCCTTTGGGGGTTGTCCTGTGCACTCCCAGTAAGTATCAGAATAAGGATATATGAAATAAACCTTTTATATCCCAAATTCCACAATTTTCACTGACTATAAGCCAAGTTGGCTGTATACGTTCTAATCAGATGAAAATAGTGGTTTCTTAGGAAGCTGTTTTCTTTACAACATCATCCGAGTTATTCCTTACTCTGTTTATTCATATAGCTATGATTCTCATTTTTCTTCATCACCAGTGGTTCTGAAAGTGCCATCCCCCAACTTGCGGCATCAGCATCAGCTAGGATTTTGTCAGAAATGTAAATTCTTGGGTCCTACCTCAGACCTACTGAGCAGGACTTTCTAGGGATGGGGCAATCTGTGGTTTAAAAGGCTTCCAGCTGGGCAGCCCCAGTGGCTCAGTGGTTTAGCGCCTGCCTTCAGCCCAGGGTGTGATCCTGGAGACCTGGGATCGAGTCCCACATCGGGCTTTCTGCATGGAGCCTGCTTCTCCCTCTGCCTGTGTCTCTGCCACTCTTTCTCTCTGTGTCTCTTATGAATAAATAAATAAAATCTTTTACAAAATAAAAGGCTTCCAGCTGATTCTGATTCATGCTAAAATTTGACTACCACTGCTCCTAAGTATGCATAGTGCTAATAGCTATTGCCTTGGAATTTTCTCTGTGGGCTAATCATGTGTACTAAATTTTCTAGGTAGCCAGGTATCAAAATACTGAATCTGAGAGCTCTGAAGAATGGAAGGTGAGTAGAAATAAAGTTTTAAAAAATATTTTTAATTTAATATATTATTAGTATAACCAATTTGGCTCTGCTGCAAATGTTGAAACTGTTAATGATTTAATGAACACATTAATAACCTAAGATATAAGTAGTAAGGGCTATAATTTCTAGTTCATGTGAAAACATTTAGTTCATATAATGCTTCAACTTCAACTTAATAGTATAATTTGGTGAGGAGGCATTTTTTCCCTTTAGGTTTACTTTCATAATGGATGTGCACAGTAGAAGGGGATGAATGACAGTGAACCAAGAATGTTATTAAAGGATTAGGACTACAAATCTGTTTTACCAGGAGATGTCTGGTAGGCAGGAGGTCAAGTCCTGGAAAGTGAAAAAAGACAGAAGGAGAGGATATTAGAGTCTGTGGAATAATTGTTAGTGTTGACTCTGAATAACTCAATAGTGATTAATTCTCAAGAACTCAAGAACCATTGCCAGGCTGTTCTATGTGCTTTACATGAGAACACTGAGACACAGAGAATAACCTAGTCTGTTACATAATTAATAAGCGTTAAAGCCAGACTTTAAACCCAGGTCACTCTGGCTCCAGAATCCACATTCTCTATCAGGGTGTTATAACCTTTTTAGGAAGGGGTTAAGTCTAAGAGGGCAACAGGTTCTCAAGATTGAAACTACAAGTAAGGCTTAAAATTTTATGCTAAGTCAGAGTGTTTTGGTAATGACCTTGTTACCTGCTGGCTTTTGCATATGATACAGCTTAGGAACAACATTAGTGGTTGCCAGATAATGTCAAGGCTTGAGATGAGGTTCTGCTCCTGCCTGCGGATGGAATTGGCACTGCAGGATTTCTTATATGAACTTGCATCAGAGATGTCCTTAGGCTGGTTAATTGAAAAGCAGCCACTATAGATCCTGTCTTTCATTCAACCATAGACTCTAAGAGTACCATAAATATGTTAGGTTATCAAGTTCAGCTTTGGCATGAGAAAAATACCAATGTCTTGTTCCCTTCCATCCCTTAATTCCAAATGATAACTGACAGAGTTATTTCTGAAGGTCTGCCATTGTGCCTGCCTGTAGTGTCACAGGGCAAAGACTTATGTAGTGTCACAGGGCTAAGACTTATGTAGTGTCACAGGGCTAAGACTTATGTACTGTCACAGGGCAAAGACTTATGTAGTGTCACAGGGCAAAGTGATTATAGCTCTTTCCTCTGGGGACATACCGCTGCCTAGCATTGCTGAGAGGTTTGTTGAAGACATGTTGATAGCAGCTCCTTCCTGTTTTACTCTCTGCATCTTCACACCCATGGCTTAGCAGGGATTTTGGGATTTTGCTCAAGAGGAAGAGGAATTGTAGATGCAGAGAAGGCACCAGAGGTGGCTCAGGCAATCTTAAAGTTATTAGATAAAAAAAGTGAAATAAATCAGAACTATGCCTAATTAGTTTCGGGCTTATTTTGTGTGTGTGTGTGTGATCTTATGTGATTCAAGAAAGGTATAATGGCCTTCTCAATTCAATTTTATCTACCACTGAATTTTATAAAGTGGTGTTTTCAAAATAGATTATTTTCTTTTTTTTAAGATTTTATTTATTTATTCATGAGAGACACAGAGAGAGAGAGAGAGAGAGAGAGAGAGAGAGAGAGAGAGAGGCAGAGACACAGGCAGAGGAAGAAGCAGGTTCCACGCAGGGAGCCCAAAGTGGGACTTGATCCCTGGTCTCCAGGATCACGCCCTGGGCCAAAGGCAGACACTAAACCACTGAGCCACCCAGGGATTCCTCAAAATGGTTTATTTCTTTAGTTTTATCATATTGAACAGTTCTCAAAATGTTTGCAATTTCATCCTCACAGCAACTCTGTGGAGTATGCACAGTGGTTACTAATATTCTTATTGACATTGGAAAGATGAAGTGAATTGCCCAGATTCACACAGAGTGACCAAAGATCACAGTTTATCCAAGACTTAGGGTTTTCCTGGAACATGCAAATTTCAGCACTAAAACCAAGACAGTTGGTTTTCAGGGCTAAAACCAAAACCAAGGGGCAGCCCTGGTGGCTCAGCGGTTTGGTGCCTGCCTTCGGCCCGGGGTGTGATCCTGGAGACCCGGGATTGAGTCCCACGTCGGGCTCCCTGAATGGAGCCTGCTTCTTCTCCCTCTGTGTCTCTGCCTCTATCTCTCTTCTCTCTCTGTGTCTCTCGTGAATAAATAAATAAAATCTTTAAAAAAAACAAAAACAAAGAGCTAATTGAGACTTAAAACTGGATTCTAAATTCCAATGCTGTTTTTTTTCCTATGTTACATTTTGTTTAGGTTGTATAAACAACCAGCTTCAAAGAAAGTATATTTTTCTCTGAGTGAAGTATCAGAAACCCAAAAATCCTTTAGGTCTGTTAGATCACAGATCTTTCCAGGCCATCAGTCCATCTCACTTTCTCTTTTTAGCCATTTCACCATAAAAATGTCATCATTGGGATCCCTGGGTGGCGCAGCAGTTTGGCGCCTGCCTTTGGCCCAGGGCGCGATCCTGGAGACCCGGGATCGAATCCCACATCGGGGTCCCGGTGCATGGAGTCTGCTTCTCCCTCTGCCTGTGTCTCTGCCTCTCTCTCTCTCTGTGACTATCATAAAAAATTAAAAAAAATGTTATCATTACTCATGTAAATATAAAATATATATCAAGAAACTAAAAACAAATCATCTAAAATTATTTTAAATATCTGCAAGATATCCATCTGTGAAGGAGTAACTTATTTTCCTTCCTTTTTTTACAGGATCACTTGGCTCAGACGCCAACACCACCTTTGGTAACTATCTCATTCATTTTTCTGTCCTAGACATCTTATACAGTAAATTTACTTTAACACTCTTCTCATCACTTTAGGCCATTTGGACAGCAGTAAATCCAAACCACAAGCAATTGATGTATATGTCGTGTATTTTTCTTTCCTTGGTAATTACTAAAAGGGAAAACAAACAACTTTTTTTTTTTCCTTTTAGGAGAACAGTGAGTCATCGGAAGAAAGTAAAGTTAGCTCAGAGGAACAGGTAATTAAACAGACCTTTCTTAACTTTTCAGGCTTCTTAGGAATTGAAGGAAATGATGTTAGATTAAATTACCTGCAACCAGCCTAAATGTAATACTTGCTAACCATTGGTTATGCTAGCTAAATCATCCCAAAAAGTAAGAAGAGAAAAATGAGTGGGAGAGTTCAGACGTGGACATGCTGTTCATTCCATATTTATCACAGGGGCCAGTTTGGTAGACATTGTAGCCCCAAATGTCCTCTAGTTAAAAAGAATACACACATACACACACACACACACACACACACACACACACACACACACACGGCCATAGACTATATTAGACAAATAATAGCTCATTTATCATTCTAAAATGTTGCTTTTACAATTAGAGTGGTTCAGATCAGGCAGAGAAAACTTTATGGTTAACAAGAAGTACCTGCTGGGCCTATGTACCTCCTCCATGTTAAGGATCTTGATGGAGGAGGGAACAGGAAACTAATGAAACAGCTCCTTTAATAATGATTTCTCTTTAAAATAGTCTCAGCGGTGACCCAGGTAATGAGAAAAGCTGGCTTATAGTTATATTCCTGTTAATAAAAAACTGGCTTTCATTCTCTAATGTATGCACTCTTTTTTATTCATTTTCCTAAAACTAAATGTCATTACTTTCTTGACTGTCCTATCATTTTAACCAAACTCAAACCCTTGGGGCTCCAGAGATCCAGGAATCACATTTCTCACTGAAGCTTTGATCCATGTTGTATTCTATACTTAACAAGTTGGAAGATGAATTATTAGTCTTTTTCACTATTTACTAAAGGTTTGTCTGAGGAACATTCTAGAAATTTATAAGCATAGATTTGGGGTATGTTTTCTGGAGATGTTTGATTTATTGCTTCAATATTCTCTGAGGTCTCAAATGAGAGTAATTGTACCTGCCGAGAAGGATGCAATATGTGCCTATTGAGGTATGGGGAGCTAAAAAGATGCTTAGTTCCAGCATACCAGTGTAAACTCTAGCAATGGGAAGAGATGTCATCATTCTGTACTCTCAACTGGAAAGTCAAACATTGATCTATAGGGACAAGTGGAAAAATGAAAACAAACTTGGCAAGAATGCTCTGCTTTAGGGTATGGTAAAGAGAGCAGATTTTTCCAGAGCATAATGAATGAAGACTCACTTATCTTTCCTTATCTGTGTAGAGCATCCAATTGTTTGACTTATGAGGATAATCTCTCTGAACTCACACTTAGAACTAAGCCTCCCTATAGTCCTACAAGTTGCAGTCTTCTAGCTAAGCCTTCTACAGGCAACCCTCTGCCTATGTGAATGAGGTGTAAATTTGGTTTAGGTGAGATGTATATGTTACCACAATATGTTACTTTCATTTTAGCTAAAGGTTTCATTCTACTGCCTTAGTACATTCCCCGCCCCTCCACCAGAGGAAAAAAAAATTGGGGGCGCTTGGGTGGCTCAGATGTTGAAGGCATCTGCCTTCAGCTGGGGTCGTGATCCCTGGGATCCTGGGACGGAGTCATGTATCGGGCTCCCTGCTCTGCGGGGAGCCTGCTTCTCCCTGTGCTTCTGCCTCTCTTTTTGTCTCTCATGAATAAATAAAATCTTAAAAAGAAAAGAAAAGAAAAAAATATTTGGGTCATTTCAAAATTCACCCAATATTTTTTAAAACTAAAAGCCAAACAATTTGATGAGTATTTCAAACTATCTCTTTAAACATGCAAAAAAAAAAAAAATCTCTGAGAGTTTCTTCCAGGAATCAGACTTACAATATAATTTGAGTTTCATAAATATGATTTCTATAGAGCTTTTTTTAAAAAAAGATTTATTTATTTATTTATTTATGAGAGAGAGAGAGACTGGCAGAGGGAAAGGGAAAGCAGACTCCCTGCTGAGCAGGAAGCCTGATGCAGGGCTCAAGCCCAGGACCATGGGATCATGACCTGAGCCAAAGGCAGGCATTTAACCAACTGAGCCACCCAGGTACCCCTCTATATAACTTTTTAAGGAAGTTTCTGTAGCACTGAGTAAATTGTGCCTATACAAAATGGAATGACTTGAGTTACAACTCCTCTTCCTTCCTTCTTTAACCCTGGCAGAGATGTTATTGAGCAGTAAAACTGATCATGGATTAGAAGGAGAGACATAAGAAAAAAGTAGGAAAGCCCAGATAACACCCTCTATATCAGCCCCTGGAGTACTGACCATGTTTGTTAACCCCAAACTCCAGGCAAATGAAGACTCCAGTGACAGTGCTGAATCGGAGGACAGCCTTGATGATCATCAATATATGCATAGACCAGCTGGTGGCCTCTCTAGGAGTGGAGGAAAAGAAGGAGATGATAAAGATGATGATGAAGATGACAGTGGAGATGACACTTTTGGAGATGATGACAATGGCCCAGGACCTGAAGAAAGACAAGGAGGAAAATCCAGACTCAAAAGTAATGAAGACTCAGCTGACTCCACACAATCCAGGGAAGATAGTCCCCCACTAGGGGAAGATAGTGCCCAAGATACCACCAGTGAGAGCAGGGACCTTGACAATGAGGATGAGATGAACAGCAGGCCTGAGAGAGGTGACTCTGTTCAAGAGAGTGACAGTAAGGAACACTGGGTAGGAGGTGGCAGTGAAGGGGATAGTAGCCACGGGGATGGCTCTGAGTTTGGTGATGAAGAAATGCAGAATGATGATCCAGATACTATCAGGAATGAGAGAGGCAACTCCAGAATGAATAGTGCCAGTGTCAAATCAGAAGAATCAAAAGGAAACAGTGATGAGCAAGCAAGCACTCAGGATTCAGGTGACAGCCAATCAATGGAGTATCCCAGGAGGAAAATTTTCAGAAAATCCCGCATTTCTGAAGAAGATGACATAGGTGAGCTTGATGATAGCAACACAGTGGAAGAAGTCAAGAGTGACTCAACAGAAAATGCCAACTCCAAAGAAACTGGCCTCAGCCAATCCAGGGAAAACAGTGAGAGTGAATCTGTAGAAGAGAGTGAGGAGAATCAGTCCCAAGAAGACAGTCAAAACATACAAGACCCCAGTAGTGAGTCTAGTCAAGAGGTGGATCTCCCATCTCAAGAAAATAGTAGTGAATCTCAGGAAGAGGTAGTGACTGAGTCCAGGGGTGACAACCCAGATAACACCACCAACCACTCAGATCAGGAAGATAGTGACTCCAGTGAAGAGAACAGCTTGAATAAACCCTCCAGTTCAGAAAGTGAATCCACAGAGGAGCAGGCTGACAGTGAATCCAACGAAAGCCTCAGATCCTCAGAGGAAAGCCCAGAGTCCACTGAGGAGAACAGTTCTAGCCAGGAGGACCTTCAGTCTCACAGTGCCTCAGCAGAGAGCCAGAGTGAAGAAAGCCAGTCTGAGCAGGACAGCCAGTCTGAGGAAGATGATGCCAGTGATTCTCAGGACAGCAGCAAATTAAAAGAAGACAGCAACTCAACTGAGAGCAAATCAAGCAGTGAGGAAGATGGCCAGTCAAAAAACACTGAGATAGAAAGCAGAAAATTAATAGTTGACACTTATCACAACAAACCCATTGGGGATCAAGATGACAATGACTGCCAAGATGGCTATTAGAATCAGCTTTCCTACGAAGTGGCTCTCACCTATAGGAGGCTTGGGGGTTGGAGAATAGTGAAATAATTACAACTATAATTTATTGATGTTTTTTATCAGAAGGACAACAAGAGGCCATTTCTTCCTGAAAGGAAATGCTGGATATATTTGTTTCTAGGGTGTCACCAATTTATAGGGGTTTAAATACTGTCAAATGACACCAGAACACACTCAATGAGACTGGAAGCAAGGAAAGATGTGCATTATAGTTTCACAACTGAAATAGTTACTAACTCATTAACATTACAGTTATTGAGGTTCTATTATGTACCAGGCACTGTGCTAGGTGCTGGGATATAAAGAAGCTTAAGGCTTGTTTCTTGCTCCTGAGGAGCTTATAGATGGTTAAATAAAGTTAAAAAGCTAAACAGGGATACATATGAGAGAAACAAGAATTATTACAATGCAGTGTGGTAAGTGCTGTAAGTGGTATGAACAAAATATATGGGAGCACAGAAGATGGGACCAATTTTGTCCTGCATAAATCAAGGAGGACTTCCCAGCAGAAAAGACAATAGGGTTGGAACACTGCATAAGATTTCTCCATTGAAGACAAGAGAATTCTATTCATTCTTGGGATAAGCAATAGTGAATCCTATATGATAAAAATATTTAGTTTTTGAAAGTACTTTCAAATTATGGCACAGTGAGGTATTTTGAAAAACAAAACTTTGTTTTCAAACACCCTTTTTGATGTTTTCTGTGGAACTCCCATGAACACTGCCTCACGCACCACTGGAGACATGATATGGAAGACTGGGTGTGGGGGGGAGGTAGTAGAAAGAAATCTCTCTTTAAATAGATAACTTTTAGCTTTATTTTTTTTTCCAAAATCAGTCTATGTGCATGCTAGAAAAACTATTCTCTGAGTCCTTTACATATGTTGCACATAGTAGAATTCTGTTTATAGAATTCAATTGATTTTTGCCAAATATCCTTTGAAATGTTACCTCAACATAAAAAATGTTTTGTAATAAAGATAATAATATCTATGTGCTTATTTTTATAGTAATATTATTAGGAAATATCTGTATTAAATAACCTTTCCTTTAAAACCTTAAAGAGTAGTTTCTTTTCTTCCATTAAAAGATGTTCTTAAATTATTCATGAAAATTTTGTTTATAATTCAGGTAGCATTTTGATAAAATTACTTTATGTGTTGCTTACGCTATTTCACTAAATATACCTGTTATAGATAAGGAAAAAAGAAAATGAAGCAAGCTCTCAACATTGCTTAAGGCCTTGCCAAAAGTTACAGCTGTTGGCTTTAACAATAGTTCTTGCTGGTCTCTCAGACTGTCATTTGTGTAAACTCTGGAATCTATAGGGAAACATATTCTTTACATTTTTAATTCTTTGTGAGAAACTATTGCATCTTAGCACTTTTACTTTTCAAATTTGTTTTTAGCCACCATTCTACAGCCACCACTATAGAGTACATCAGAATTCCCCTACAAATTTATTAAGAGAATCAGGAAAACTTTCATTCATTCATATTTTTTATTTTTATTTTTTGTGAGAGAGTGCAGCATGTGCATGTGTGTGAGTGCTTGAGGTGAGGGAAGAGCAAAGGGAGAGGGAGAGAGAGAATCTCAAGCAGGATCCACTCCCAATGCAGAGCCCAAAGTGGGGCTCTATATCATGACCTTGAGATCATGACCTGAGCCAAAATCAAGAGTCAGAAGCTGAAGCTTAACGGATTGAGCCACCCAGGCACCCCCAGGAAGATTTTCAGTCTGATCCTTCCCATCCTTCTCACAGTTCCATTCCCTCACAATGTCAAAGCTGTCGTCACTTGGAGAATAAATATATAGTCTGTAATCCTACCCCTTGAGATTTTAATTTAGTAGGTCTAAAGCGAAACCCCAAATTCTCTATTTTTAGAAGGATCCCAGGAGATTCTGATGTAGCCCATCCACATACTCACATTTGAGTTCTCTGGCTCTATGGACTAATTATCTACCTGTATTAACCTATAGGTTCCTACCAACCACAGCTTCTTGTAAGGAGAACTGCCCCATGTTTGGACCTGAGGTACAGGCGATCAGGCTCTAACCATTGAACTGCCCTGCCTCACCACAGGTGACTATCCTGATGAGAACCTGACCTCAGGGGACCTGCCTATAGGCTGGCCAGCAGCCTCAGATGAGACATGTCACAAAGGTTTTGCCTGAACATAAATAACAGTGGCTTGGGGGCTAATATGAATTTCCCTCTCTGAATATTTGAATATTTATGAAGACAGATATCGACAAGAAATCAGAACAAAAATAGAAAGGAGGGGAATCCCTGGGTGGCGCAGCGGTTTGGCGCCTGCCTTTGGCCCAGGGCGCGATCCTGGAGACCCGGGATCGAATCCCACGTCTGGCTCCCGGTACATGGAGCCTGCTTCTCTCTCTGCCTGTGTCTCTGCCTCTCTCTCTCTCTCTCTCTCTCTGTGACTATCATAAATAAATAAAAATTAAAAAAATAGAAAGGAATACAGAGAGATTAAAACAGCATTAAAAAGAGTCTTTTTTTTTAAATTTTTATTTATTTATGATAGTTACACACACAGGGATCCCTAAAAAGAGTCTGTTAATGGTGAAGCACAAAACTGAAAATTATTGAACTCTCAATGCTGAGAAGTAAAATCATAATCTTCTTGCTCTCATACTTGGATCTTGACTCTCCTATTGCTCACCAGGCCTTATTGGATTCCTATGATGTTCCTTCCTTTTAAGTGCTATCTGTATCCTTACAATACACTCACCTTTCTTGAGATAAACTGAGTCAGTCTTTGTTACTTGTGAACAAAATGCCTAATGAATTCAGACTCATAACCTTAGCTATTAAGTTCAGCCGGTATTCCTAGGTCATATAACCCCTTTACCAAGTTAATTAACAGGACTTTTAGAAGGAAGAACAATGATAAGAGTTTTAGCTTTGTTGTTGATAGAAATCATCTTAGATGTGGGAGAGTTTTAAGTTCTCATCAACTCATTTTATGTACTTGGAATAGACAGTGGTCTATTTTGCAATAAAAAATGGTACAGAAATATTATTCAAAGGAAAGTTGGGCAGACTGGGGCTATAGCTTTGAAGGTGTATAAATTTTCTCATGGAGTTCCTCACTGAAGTCTGTAATAGATAGAGAAGCCAAATCACAATCAGGAATCAATTTTAAATCTATAATGGGAAGAATTAAAGGCTATGAGGTGAGTATAAATGAAAACATAAATGAGAGCTATGTGACATGAATGCTTAATAGCACTGGGCTAAAATAAGATGATGTTTCTATGATGCTCCATGAAAAACCTTACAGTTGGGACTTAAACTCTAGAAAGCTGAAGCTTTCCTGGAAAGTACTCCAAGAGCCATGATCAAGTCTTGCCACAGTAATCCTTATTTTCTAAATTTACTAGGGTTAATCCACTCTTCTTTAAAAGGCCCATTCTTTCTTTACATAGATTATTAGTACAACAGTCAAGTTGGTTTCTGTGGAGTCCTGCAGGCTTGGGAGCCATTCTGTCTTCTCCAGAAGATTTTGCATATTTATGTAGATCTAAAAATTTAGTTCCTAAACTACAATCTTACTTTACTGTTCCTAGTTCCTGAAGTGATGTGGGCATTCTCTATGACTCCAAAATAAACACAAATTGATGGTTTCTAATTTTTCCCATTTACTCACTGAGTCATTCAAACATTTATGGAGCACATCTTATATCTATAGAAGGATGAATGAGATATGATTTCTGCCCTTAAGAATAAAAGGAGATAAAAGTATATGAACTGTTACAGAGCAGTTATAAGGCTCTAATTAAGTTTCCATGAGTGTACATGGAGGGAATAATTAATCTGTTTAGATAGTTGAAGACGTACTGGGAAAACTGATGTAAACCTTGGGAAATGAGTAAGAAAACAGAGAAGCATACTCCAATCATAGGGAACAGAGAAGTAAATGTACAAAAATCGTTTATGGCAAGTTAATGTATTATTAAAAAAATCGCGTGTTGCCAAAGCATTGGTAAGAGAGAAAGAGAAAGGGGAAGTGATATGTGAAGTCTCTGAATGCCAGATTAAGGAGAAGAGCCTTCACCGTTAGTAAGTACCTTCCTGGAGCCAAGTTTTCATATTTGATAAACATATCATAAACACCTTTGATACGGATATTATAAGTTCTCTACCTCATTTAAAAATATATAACAAATAATAGCAAATGAAACACAGAAAAGCTAAGTTAAGTATCCTACCTGATAATCCAAGAAATAGCAGAGTCTGATTCCATTTTTGTTCAATGATGAGCCACTGAAAATTTTGGCAACTTTCAAATGTGTACTACAATACTACCGACTGTAGTCACCACACTGTTTATTACATCACAGGAGTTATTTATTTTAAAATTGAAAGTCTGTACCTCCTGACCCCCTTCACCTATTTTTCCCACCCCACAAGTCCTCCACCCTCTGGTAACCACCATTCTGTTCTCTGCATCAGTGCATTTTGTTTTGTTTTGTTTTGATTCCATATATAAATAAAATCATATGTTATTTGTCTTTCTCTGTCTGACTTTTTATTTAACCTAACCTTCTAGGTCCATCTATGTTGTTGCAAATGGCAAGGTTTCATTCTTTTTTTTTTTTTATGTCGAGTAGTATGCCGCTGTATATATACACCTAATCTTGTTAATCCACTCATCCACTGATGGAGATTTATTTCAATATCTTGGGTAATAAAAACAATGCTGTGATGAGCAAAGGGATGCATATATCTTTTTGAATTAGTGTTTTCATATAAATATCCAGAAGAGGAATTGCTGGATCATGTGGCAGTTGTATTTTTACTTTTTGAGGAACCTCTATACTGTTTTCCTTAGTGGTTGCACTAATTACATTCCCACAAGTAGTGTATGAGGATTCTCTTTTCCCATATCCCTGTCAACACTTGTAACTTCCTGTCCTTTCGCCATTGAATATTCTTGC